CACCGACACCGTTATACTGTCCGAACTTTCGGCGACTCTAGGCTATGCCTGCAAAAAAAGTAACACGACCGCCCGTCCGCGCGGACACGCCGGAATGCCGAGCGACGTCCCGCGGAGGGAGGAGGGAAAAATCCCTCCACGCTGATAGAACGATAGAATGAAATTAAAGTAGGACTTCAACGAAGAGTACATACTCGACATTCCGGGCGGTGTTTCAAGCCAGACCCACTTCTTAGCTCGTTTTGATTAAAACGCTAAAGAGGACGACGACGTCCGCACATCGTCGGGTAATAATGGAAGAAATACGGTATTGCCGGACGGTCGATCTCGCCCTTACGGTCCCGATTTTTCGACGTTGGATTAGATCATTTTATTGGAAGCCCCATGATGATCGGGGCTGTGGCACGAGGGTGGGAGAGCGACGACCTCGGCGAGATAAATTTAGGGAATTTTAAGGGGAAAGAGGGTGCTTCAAGAGGGGCTCTCGAACGAGGTCGTTTAGAATTTACGAAGTACACTCGTGTGACGCTTCAGTACCGTTTAGTGCCACCTAGGAGGTAGCCAAACGTCATTGGATCGTTAAATGTCGCACCCGTGGAAAGTTCAGGGAGTGCAGGAGACTCCGGCCACCCCTCTCAGGTCGCCCCCTCACCTGATACCGGGCTCAAATCCCGACAAAATCATTGGGTGTGCCGAGGCACGTGCAGCCCCTCTTTCAAGCGTGCTCCAAAATGCACAGAAGTTGAAAATTTTTACACAAAGAAAAAATATCCAGGGAAAATAAAAATGCGTTAAAATAGGATCTTGGCAGCGAAGACTCAAAATGAAAGAAAAGCTGCCTCGCGATGTGTATATTCCCGAGGATTTCCAGGATTCAAGGTTGACGTCCCGTTGGAATCCCGGGTTTTAATAAATTCGGAAGGAAAGCTTTTCATCGGTCGTCTAGACCCGAGAATACCGTCGTAAGCGGCACGCGAAAGATTTATGCGTCTACGCCGGATGGCTCCATTCCGTACCTCCCAGTTCCTCTCCCAATTCCGTTTCTCAAAGAGCCCATCCGATCACGGAGCAACCGGCGATCCGTGCCGAATGCCAGGTTTCGTCCCGAATCCCCAGAGGCGCCGATAAGCGCGGGCGATAGGGGACCGATCTCCAGCCACGCGTGGTCGTCCTTTTTCCCCATTCCCTCTTCCTTTCCTCTCACCTCTCGTCCCACCTCTCAAAGGAATTAATTTATTTTAATTAATAATTGCCCTCGAATGTGATCGGCGTTTTCCTTTTTCCTAATTAGTATCCGACTTTGTTCGAACTTCCAGCGCCGATAAACCGGATAAAGGGGGAGAGGTAGCCGTGATTGAACGGAATTGAATAGAGAAATGCCTCGATAAATAATTAATTTAAATTACTCCGGCTCGCCGTGGAATGTTTAAGGGTTTCTATTTGCGTGAACGCACGCATTTCCTTTTAATTAGAGGGACCCTTTGCTGAAGGTCCGCGTATATCGAGGCCCTCCAAGTGGGACGGCGTCGGCGACGTTTACGCGTTGTCGCGCTTATCCATTAGGTTAATTCCCGCGGCAATAAGGCAACCGCTTTGTGGAGCAGCCCGAGAAGGCGAGACGCCCACCCACGCCCGTTCCCTGCCAACTTAGCTCGTTCACCCGAAACTGCGCGGATCGTCCTCCGGAGTCCGTCGCCTCCTCTTTCTCGCTCTCGTGCGCCGCCCTATACGTCCGTCCTCCTCCCCCGTGCGGTTCGCAGGGACCGCGCAATTGCGCACGCGCCTCGGGACATCCCGCGATCCGAGACGCCATCGATGTACCCTTCCACGTGCGAATCGAGCAAGTCAGCTGTTCCATAAGGTATCGATACGTTGCGTCACCACCCCTGGCGCTGACTTGTCAATGAAATCGGACGAACCCCCGTGCCATGTAATTACACGACCAGCTGCCCAATAACCCTTTGCATTTATTATTTCTCGCAAGTAAACACCGGTGTTGACGTAACGAGGTACAATCGATTTCTAAAGGAACCGAGAGGGTTCTTTTCGATTTTAATGTCACAGCGTCACCCTCGGTGGTTTCTTTTCCCACAGACTCCGATATGCGAGCTGTTCATCTCCCTCGTTCTTGGGCCGCCCCGATGGTCTCCTCTCACTCTCGGGGTCGTCGGTGCTTCGCCCCCGTCCCAACAGGTGGCGGGCGCGCGGCGCGATCGCGCACGCGCAGGGCGTCTCCTAGTAGGTATGGTGTACGAACTCACCGGCAAGCTGGAGACCCCGTGGTGCTGGTCGTGCAGGACCTCCCATCGCCGGGCGGATCGACTCCCGCCGAAGGAGAGGCACGTGGAGTACGGGATCATGACGCGGCCGACGCGGCGCCTCCCGTCCGCAGGGGCTCCGACGACGCCCCGCGCGTCCTGACGTCCCACTCGGCTCGGCCGACTTCGCACCCCCGAGGACGCGGAGACTCGAGGGAGGCCGCGAGCCGGAGATTCGAAGGAACGCGCCCGCAGCGCCGACTGGTGGCCGCTGCCGCGACCGACTGGCGCGATCGATCGGCCCGAGGAAGCCGCGACCGCCCGCGCCTCTCCGCGCGACCCCGAGCGCCCGCATAATGCGCTCGCGGGAGCCGAAGGGTTCCGGAAGGGCCCGAAGGATCCCGGTGGGTTCCGAAGGGCCCCGAAGGCCGCCTGAGCGAGCCGGGGTACCCGAAGAGGGCCGAACCCATCGAAGCGGAGACGACCCTCTCGGGGCTCGAGGGTCGCGGCTGCCTTTGTTTCCCGAATAGGCTTTCGAACGCGGAACGCGGAACGAGGAACGCCAGGAAATGGGGTGAAGTACTAGACGGGGAGGAGATAGTTGCGGGAGGCTGCTGGATGCGATGTCTGGAAATCGATTTCCACCTCGTACTCCCGGATCCGATTCTTCGGAAATGTTTACACCGTGGCACCCTAATGGTAATTTCTTATTTATGCTCGCCAGGTCGGTCCGTCAAGGCAGAACCAGAGAGTTCACGGTCCTCGGTTTTTCTCTCTTTTTTTTTTTTTTCATATCGAAGGTGTTTTTCGAACGAGGAGTCGCGATAAATCTGCCGGAAGACGGAGGGCGCCGCCTCGAGGAGATAAGTTTTATTTAATTTTAATCCTTAATACCGCAGTAAATCTACCATTTTTATGGAGGGGACGGTTCGCTCGCTATTTTACTATGTCCCGTGCTATATATATATACACTCGCTTTTATCGGGCGAATAGCTTTTCGAGGGCGATCAAAGAGGAACGAGGAAACGGGGTGAAGTACCCGCCCCGGGGAGAAGATACCCGGTGGGACGGGGCGGCTCTGGGAGCGATGATTTTTCAACTCCGACTCTCCCCCGCTCGGTTGAAAATATCCGGGAATATTCGGACCGTGAAACTTAGCGGCGTTTCGCCCGCGCGTATATCTGTATATCCCGCGGGATCCAAATCATCCGTCGAGCCGATTTTTCGAATGCGATCCGCGGCAAGCGATGCGAAAAAACGGGACGAAGCCCTCGAGCTCCGGATCCGTCAGTCGGCCGGTCGATGAAACGCGACTGGAAGGGATGACTTTTGAACTTTGACTCTGCAATCCTCTGTTCCTTCCTAATCAGAGAGATTTCAAACGTCATCCGTTCCGACAGTCGTATAAAACGTCACCGGCGAATCACTAGACTATTTCAAACGAGATAAGGAGGATTTTCAGGGAAAAAAAAAAGGAGTAACTCTTGACTGGATCTTATTTCTCTTCTCCTGGAGATGCGGCCCCGAGTCTCGGGTCATCGACCACGCGACCAAAGATATTAAAAGGATTTTCCCCATGCGACTAAAGTTATTAAAAATAGAAAAAAAAAAACATGGCGCGGCCACATTTACCGCCGCCCCCGATTTTGTCGTGATAAAATGCCCGCGTTACGCGCAGTCAACGTCTCTCCGTTTCAGGCTGGCGAGGTTAAATTTCGTCACGGAATTAACGCCCAGCTCGTAATTCGTCCCAAAAGTCAAACAACGGGCTGTTCCCCGGATAGACTCGCGCCGACGTCACCTCCGATCGCGCGCCGGAGGAAACGAGGTAAAATACGATCCGAAGGTGCCCATTGTTTCGGAAAGTAATGAAAACGCGACGGGAGATACTTCCCCGTGGAATGTCCTCCCCCGGCCGGAGCCTCAAGAATGGCCGGCATCGGGGACAGAATCGACCCGAGGCGACAAATAACGTCATCCGATTATATCGACATTTATTGCAGGAATTTCCTCCGCGCTGACAAAGCGGAATCCTCCTTTATTCTATCCAGAAGAAATTCCACCCCCCGTGGCGGATGAAAATCGAAAATACATCCGGCAGGTTTCCACTCGAACCTGCCTCACCGTGTCCAGCATCCCTGAGGAGTCTTCCGGACTTTTTGATATTAAGAACACGAGCCTGTCGTAAATGTTGGGAGAATCTTCGGTTTCCTCCGCCGAGCAATCGCTTATGCGTTAGTGCCCGGAAAGCGCGCCTTTCGTCAGGATTTTCCGCCAGGAAATCTCCATTCGGGCCGGAATTTACACCCCCCGACTGTCGATGCTCGTAACGACCGCGCGCACGTCCCGCACATTTTTCAATCTCCTTTTACGAGGTTCCAGGCACCAAGTTAAACGCGCGACTATTTCGCGAGACCCTGCATCCTCGTTTGCACTCTGCGGAATTAACTCGGCCGATTGACTCGCAATTGCGTTCTCCTTGCCGACTCGAGACGGCTTAACTAGGGCGGCGAAAATTCTCCCAACCAGGTATTGCCAATTAGGGTCGAACCTAAAAAGAGTTCCCCGCAACTCTGTCTGTAGAATTTAACTCTTTCCCGCCGCCGAAAAGTAGATTACTCGGGAAACGTCTTCTGACGAACTTACGGATTTATCACAGCGGATTATATCGTTAATTTTTTCTTATTATGCTTGATATACTTCAATCCATGCAGGGGTGGTGTAAGAATAAACGCAGGAACGAGATATGTAACGATAACGTTTACTTCTGACTTGTTGATAAAAGCTTCAGGTGTAAAATACGTCGAACATGCGTTACAGCGCAGATTAATGCTTTCAGTCTCTGGCCACGATTACGTTCTGCAATAGTTGCTGTAATTCACGTTGTACCGTTAAACGAAGAGAAAACATTACGATTAACGTAACCACTCCTGCAAGTCTGCTGTAAACGCACGGTCTAGTTGTCTATCTGCATTGAGCCTTATCGATCTACGTTTGGCGCAAAGAGATATGTACAGAGGTACTATTTGATAATTTTGAAATCCAAAAAGAATCTCTATTAAATTTGGAATCGATACGAGCTTAGATCGTCTATTTCTGTCCAGCTACTTCATGGTAAAACGCTATTTTCCGTAGCAGCACTTAAAACAAAGGTAACTTACGTTGCATCGATTGAAATGTTCACCTCGAGAATGTGACAGTAGATAAGTACACTTAATAATTTTTTGGTGCCTCAGAGATAAAAGTAAGACTGGATCGGATATTCGGAGAAGACGTACGTTACATTATCAATTTAGGCGTGCCAATGAAAACGTTATAAAAAGTCCACCCAATTACTTCAGAATGGATCGCTTTAATTGTATCGCTTTTCGCAAATTTTTTCAGACGCTTCGAAGAGAGCTCATATCCCCACGTTCTGAGAAACACTCGAGCAGTTCTCAAAGTCTTTTCAGAACACATGCAATATGGATTCGTAAGGCTTTATAAAATATTCATCACAGAAAGAAAAGTCTTAGCACAATTCTTCCCCTCCGTTGTTATTTGCACTATAATGGAACACTGTCGAGTTCGTGACTCAAAGGTGTGAAAAGCCGTTTAGAACGAGTCGTCTTGAGTGATAGTCGCCGAAGAGTTTCCACTCTCGGGCGACCGCATTGCAACATACCGTTTGCGCAAGATCTCTTGTAGATCATTACAGGGACTATTTTCACGCTTAGCTCGCAGGGGTCGTCCACCCGGTGATCTAAATTCAAACACCGTAAGCATAGTTTTTTACTTTTGCTGTTCGGTTAACGTTCCATTCGTTCCAATGCAAAAGCAACGTTCTATGCACTGTTAATCCTATCTTACCTCGCAACTGGCTTCAACTTGACTTTATCGATGTCTTTCAATATATTGCTCATAGACTTTTGAGCGATCAATGGCACCTTTTTTGAATCTTCGATTTTGTGATCTTGTAAACTAGCTCTCCTTGCAATATGGGGTGTCGTGGGTGGCGGAAGAGGTGGTGGTGGCGGCGGTGGTGCTACGGCTTGGAATCTTTCAGATCCACTTGGAAGATGTCCTTCGGATGCATCTGGAATAACGAAGTATCATAGATTTGCCTCTAATTGCACCGCATATAAGCAATCGACTAACTCTTACAATGTCTGGTATCCTTTGTGCTCTTGACTATGGCGGCCACCTGTTCTCTCAGCACCTGAAGCTCTTGCTCCAGTGCGAGCAATCGAATTTCGGAACCAAAGCTGATTGGTTCCAGCAGATCTGGTCTGCTGCCCATGAGTCGACCACTGAAAAAGACAAACAAAAATAAACATCGTTAATCAGAACAAAAAATTCACTAAATATCGCACTTACTTGTCAGGTTCTATGCCATTAGGTTTTGGCGAATCATCACTGGTTTCTTCATTGATCATTGAACTCGTCATAGAATGTAACGCAGTTACACTGACGTATATTTTTGGCGGTGGCTTCAGTGGTAGATAGGAACCAATTCGACGTACGATGCTGCGTCTCTTGCCATAGTACTTTATCGTCTCACCCATCTGCAATTGAGGTGACATAACCCATTAATAAGATGAAGGATAATTAATTTCCCGCTTGCTCGTTATTTTCACACGAAAACGACACCGACCTAAGACTCGTTACATTACAATAGCAAGCTATTGCACACGTGGTTATACTTTCATGTGCGCATTCTCGTCGCAGAAAGACACATATTCACGTAACGGACATACATATATACGCACCGCGTAACCTACATACCTTCTACGCCTCCCTTGGAATGTGTATTTCTTGGCTTAAAAAAACACCGTCCTCGCTTTGAATTATCTCGTGCGACGCATGAACCCTGCGAGTTTCCAACGTTTCCAACAATCCCGCGTTGATGGAAATTGAAAAAAGAGAAAGGACCAACATCCGAGTGTAGCCAACAGCTGACGGTGGTTGCGCATGGATGTGCACTCCGTTTCCACGGTGGATTTAGTTAAACCAACGATTGCGAGAAAATACCGTTCTCGTAATCGACGCGATGTAAATCCTTTCTCTTTACGACATGTATAAGCCGCCATTAATGCGTATCAGATGGCACTATTGGATGATTTTGCCCTTCCAGAATCTCCCACGAGGGGCAGCACTAGTCGACATCGCATTTCCCCGAACTACTCTAATTGCCTCATTCGTATCCAACGCTCTCCTCCGTCCGATCCATATAGGTAGTCTCATCGCCCAAGCCGTTTATCTAATCTTCTTACATGGAATGCATTCCGTTCACGTACAGACCCAATTGGGATTCAATTACTCGGAACAGGGTGACTAGTCGGGGCTATCGGTCGAAGGCGCCATGAAAATACATGCGCCTGCGCGCGACGAATAGGTCACGTGCTCCCCGCAGGAGCCGAGCGGACAGTCGGCAGGTTGGTCGGTCGGGCGCTCGGTGGCGCCACCGGCACGGTCGAGAATGTCGGCCGCTGGAGTCGGGACGCCGTATTTGTCAATACCGCGTCGTTTCCGCGATTCCCGTGGTTCGAGGTTTGTTTCGCGGTCCCCGAGCGAGCGGAGTTAAGGGCGTCCTCGGTCTCGGCCGCGTTCGAGACGCCGGGCGGTAGGAGGGTCACCCTCGGATCGCGCGACGCCGAATAAACACCGGAGAGAGCGCCGCCTCTCTCGGCCGTCCGAGTCGAGGATCGTGCGCCGGGAGTGCGAGAGTGACCGACGGATCTCGGCGAGACGCTCGAGACGCCCCAGCAGCCCCGCGGACGAGCCCAGGGTCGGCCCCATGCGACGGGATTAAGATGTGAGTAAGAAACCGCAACGTCCCCGGGGCACGTCGCGACGCCCGGGAGGAACGTGGCTTGCGCGAGAGAGCGTTAGAGCGAGACCGCGCGACGGCTGACCGAGCGCGAGGGAGAAGCGATTATGCGGGTCCGCGAGGGAGAGAGGGAGACGGCGCGACGGCTCCGGAACGCGACTCGGGAGGGAGGTGCAATTATGCGGGCGCGCAAGGGAGGGAGAGAGACAGAGCGAGGACTCCGGACCGCGAGTCGAGCGAGGATCACCGCGGTGGGAGGGAGATGGGTGATCGGCGATCGGTCGGCCGGGGGGAGGGTCGAGCGTTGCCCTCTCGCGACGGTCCAGCGACAAGGACGCGGCGACCCCTGCGCTGGGAGTGCGACAGAGACGCCAGGCTTTGTTATAAACACGGCGACGCGCCGCGCTCCTCGCACTCTTTTCGGGTAGCCGTGCGGCCGCTCCAGGTAAACCGAAGTGTGCGTGCTCGCGAGAAACCGGTCTCCCCGCTGGACGTCGCTTTTTGCTGAATCCGCCGATCGCAGACGCTGCTTTCTTAACCTAGTCGACGTCCACTCCGCGCCGGCTTGGCGGACGTTCGTTAGGTTAGGTTTCCGTCATCGAGTAGAAACGGTCACGTCGACCCGTACACGTACGGACTCCTTCAAATGCGACGGGCCTAACCGAAATTATGGCGACCCTTGAGAAAAAATTTAATTCGATTCGTGTAACACCGTTAAAGCGCGTTATTAGGAGGCGACATTTCAAATCCCGTAATTGTTTCACCCTACAACTTCGGAGCTTAAAAAATGCATTTCAGTAAAAGAATGACTCAGAAATAGGGGATACAATTTTTTTCTTTGCGCGAGGAGCCTTTGTTCCTGTGATATATCCTAATCTCTTCGCGTTCTTTTTTTTTTAATTTCCCATAAACGGGTAATTTTTTTTATCCGCGCAAGGTCGTAGTCGTCGATATTTCGAAGCGCTTCTTCCGGGCGATAAAATCCCCCGAAAGTGGGTGAGGACTTTTCCCTTTTTTTTTTTCTTTCCTCTTGAACGAGGTGGTTCCCTCTTAAACGCCCGGGCCATTCCGCGGGCGCAAAAAGGCGCGGCCACGCGGAGAGTTATTCAATTCCAGAACGCGGTAATGAAGCAACACCTGCGGACGTAAAGCTGGATTTATTGGCTGTAAATTATCGGGCCTGCCGGCGGTAAAACGCACTCGACGGCCCCCGCCAGGAAGGATGTAAAACAATGCTGGGATGTAAAACCTGTGGATCAGATTTTCAAGGAGAGGACAGGGGAGGAAAGGGGGAGACGAGGCGGAAGCAACTCCTGTAACGAGGGCGACCTGCAGTCGCGATTTCTTCCTCATCCGGAGTCACGTTCCGGTCGGAAATCGTCGGCGGCTTTGACGCATCCGGGGAGAAAAATGGGGAAGAGGCCGGAACGAAACTCGTTGCGCAATCTTCAAGAACGGCGGAGGGAACGGTTGCGAAACCGACGCGGCGAATTCGAACTATCCGGCCCGAGTCGGGCCTAGAAAGCGTGCGATTACTTTTAATCAGCGGCGCAAAACGGAACTCGTCTCCTCCTTTATCCCGGCGGAGAAAAGAAATTTTCCCCCGACCTTATCGCGGCGGCGATTTATCGGAGACGTTCGTCGAGAAAAGTCATTTCATCGATCCAATGATATATTTCGTTAATTCCATGAATCCAATAAATTGTCATAATCCCGAAGAAACGGTGCGTCCAATTAATTCGAGTTTATTTCATACCAATTAGTCCAGTCGAATTGGCGAAGTATTTCTTTGGTTCGGTGGATTTTTTTTCTCTCAGAGTACGGGGGTAAAAGAAAACGCGAACGGTGTCCGTTGCGTAAGGATTAATTAAGGCGGGCGGGATGTAACGGCGCGTGCGCGTCGTTGCCTCGTTGCATTACGCCCGTAATAATCATTTCTAACCTCTCCAGACCGGACGGATTGTCGGGTTTCCTAATATTATCGTGCCGGACCGTGGGCCTACCGGAATCACGTAGCCGCGGCGGCGATACCGCAACGTGGCCGCCGCAATTCCGGGGATGTAATTCGCCTCGTTACGAGGCGACGTGGCCTCGTAAACGACGCCGCCCGGAGTAAGTACGGCGCGTGGAATAACGAATCGCCTTCACTCCCCGTTCATTTATTTATTCCTCGGCCGTAAATGTCGAGAAATGACGGAGCGACCGAGGCGTGTTCATTTCTCAGGGCTCTCAGGGAACGGCGAACACCTAGGGCGACTCTTTGAGCCCGTGAAAAATGGAGGTTTTCGCCGAACCCCGAGACTCGAGGGGGAGGGACGAGTGGCGGCCATCTTTCTTTCCCGGCGCGAGATTTAAAAAGGATTTCAGCGATTTAAAAGGAACACAGAGATGACACCTTAAAGAATGGGGACGTGATTTTTCATCCGTGGGTCCGTACAAAACAGGGCGGTGAGATAATTCTCGCGATTTCATAATATATTGTATATATATATATTTTAGTAGACCACGAGTGAATTTTCTTTAATAATATTTATTAGATCGGTAGTAACAAGGAATTCTTTGCGAGGGTTCACGAAATATTCCAGGTACGTCGTTCGGGAATTTTGGAATTTATGAGCGGCAACGTAAGATTTCTTTTTGCGTACGAATGGATTCGCATGAAAAAAAAAAATCACATTGTTGCGAAGTCGTGTTGTTGGTCAACATTTCGAAGTCGTACACGAAAGTGTCAATTTTGCACGCGAAAGGCGATCGTATGAACTCGAGAATCGGGTCCTTGGGTCTGGAACTTTGATATACTACCTATGTCTCTTTTTGGACGATTCCTTTTCCCCCCTGGCGCATATCCTTGTCGTGGATCCTCTCTTCTGGAAGCGAGCCGAGAACGGACGGATTGTACCGTTTACCGGCGCATCCCCGTTAGGATGTCTTTTAGCCCTACTTTCTTCCTATCTCCACGAGGCTCCGGAGAACGCGAACGGCCCCTGGACCGCGTCCAAACAAGAGGGAAACGCGCGGTTTTCTCGCGCCAGGAGAGAAGGGGGAAAGAGAGAGAACGATCGGCCCCCGCGGGGGAGCGAGAGAGACCCGACTACCTCCCCCGAGAGAAATGGCCGGCGTAAAAATAGCCCACCGGCTCTCGTCCCGGCGTTATACCGCGGGAGCCGCGAGATGCATTTTTATTGCATATACCCGAGGGTTATATTTAACTTAAATGCCGTCGCCGACAAGGTTAAGGCCTGACTCACACGAGGCAGGGACGATTCGCTCCCTCCGAGTCCTTTCGCGACTCTCTTCGACGACTAAATTAAAGCACGGGTACTCGTCGTATCATCAATCGTCGGGTATTGTTCTATCATGATTTTTTTTTTTTTTTTTTCATCGCGAGAATATCAGAATATTTACGCGAGTCCACCTAGACGTACGCGGCATAGAAGTAAAGCTGCGCTTCTGGTAATTTTTTTTTTCCCCCTTTAATGAGGTTGTCAAACCATTTTTTTTTTTTTTAAATCGCGGGAAGATCTCGCCGTTCGAGATTTATCGTCTCGGAAAAGAGAGAGGGAGACGGAGAGTGACGCGATGCGTACCTTCACTTATCTGTGGCGATAGCATCAAAGGTCGACATACCGTTATCGGGACTGCCGCAACGGTGCGTTCTATTCTGCGGAGGATGCGGCCGACACGCCGGCGCCGTACGAGCCGTACGCGGGCATAACGCACCGCGGAAACGCAACGCGGCGAGTCGCCGGCAATTATTGCGCCGGGGCATCTCCCGGGAGCCGTGTCGAGGATGATTCAATAACAGGTGCCGTTATACCTCATCGTCGGCGTCGGCGACGGGTCAATTACCGAGGCGACACCAGACTCGGCTATCTTGCCGATAAACGGCTCGTAAACGCGAGAACGCGACCTCGCAGGCGTGACCTCCGCTCGCGGAAAAAAATATTGTCTTGACCACCAAAGGTTGCCAGGGATTTTCCTTCTGAAAATTTAATGCTAATCGTGCGGCATGGCTCGGGGTCAGGGTGATCGGTCTTCCGGATCGATCGATCAATCGATGTCTACGGTTGTTGTCAATGGCAGCGATCGGGGAAATCGGTCTTGGTCTTTGATCCTGCAAAAAGTGCAGATCAAAATTGAGACCGAGACCGATTTTAACCCATCACTGATCGATAGTTACCTTCGAGGGTCCTGCGACTTTACGGCTTCGGGTAAACC